GACAATATTATAGCAATAACATTCTGTTGATCAGTTGGGATAAGATATTTGTAACACAATCACATCAATATAACTGGCAGGTTATAGGACATCTGCACAATGTTAAAATTATACAGAGAAATGCAAACTGGCATTAGGTAGTAAAGACCCAAAATAAGTTCTTATAGTTGTATAAATCTATAAACTAAGAAGTTAGAGCTACTTGGAAAAATCCGAATAAAAAAGTAGTATAGATCTTTGATAATACTATTATAAAGACCAATTTTAGAAAATAAATATCAATATAAAAGGAATCAGATAAGCAAGAAACTTAGTTAAGAGGTACTATCAACCAGGTTGCCAGAAGTCTTAAACTAAAGAAAAAAGATCTTGAAGACAGACTTTAAGAACTAGGAACAGGTTATAGTTCTATTAATTTATCTGAATTAAGAATTTGAAGTCAGAAGCAGAGGTATACTATAAATACTAAGAATATGCTATAAAGTTGATACTAAGGTTTAGATAAACTCTAAAAGATCAAACTCTGTTAACAAAAAAATTAAATATAGATAATTAGTTAGCATAAAATCTTTAAAGTATTACAGTTAGGTGATGTACTCTGAAATATATAATAACTTGACAGATATACAGAAAAAAAGATCAAGGTTAGGTTAGACAACACTTAGATGTATAAAAACTTGTGTGCTATTTGGCAGTATAAGTATAAGGATTAGAGTATTTAAATATATAATCTCTTAGTAAATTGCAGATATAGCAGCTAGTATAAAACCTGCTATACAGGCAAACTACTTAAAATAGATAACTAAAAGTTGTATATGTAACTAGTTGTATACTCACTTTGTAAAAATTATAAAATCATAATTAAAATACAATAAAGGCAATAGTTATTAATAACCATGAGCTTAGTAAAAGCAAATATATATATATATATATTATTAAAAAATTTTTTTTGATGTTAAAATAAGGTCTTGCTTATATCTTTATTAGTAATTTTAGTTGTACAATATCTAACAAAAGTAATGCCTAATGATCAATTTTATAGTAAATTATATATAAAATCCTTTTTAAAAAATCTTATTATTAAAAAACAAAAAAAATATTTATTTTGACTTAATGAAAATTATAAATCATAAAATACTATCTTTCTTCTTTATAATAATCTTTCATACAATTACAACTCTTATATAATTATACAAATTTTCAATACAATTTATTTATTTATAAAAATACCTATATATAATTACAATTTGCCTATAATTATTATTATATAAATATAGTAAATATATATATATATATATATTATCTTTCTATATAATTACTTTATATTTTTTATTTATTTTTTTTTGTTAAACTAGCTTCTTTTGGAGCTGGGGCTTTTTATTCAGTATAGTTAGGATATAGAGACTCATGGCTGAAGCCTTAAAGAAGTCTCCTTACCTTAGAGAGTACAACTAGTTACATATACACTTTTGGTGTTTAATTAAGTAGTTCGCTAATGGTTCTACACTAGCTGCCATACCTGCAATCCAACTAGGGGTGTTACCTATTTAAATCCTCTGTACTGCAACCTTACTGTATCACTAGATCATTTTTGCTATATAAGTTAGTTGAGAAGGTCTAGATGCTTATCTGTATTTTTAGGACCCTGTATCTTATTTTATGCAGTGTATCCTTAGAAGCATCGTTACTAGAGCCTTTTGTGTCCCATACACAGCTAACTTAGTTTTATGTAATACACTATAGTTACCTAACACTTGCAGTCAGAGCTAACCTTAAACTGCTATATTACACTATTTTTACTTGTAAAGTTCACCAAAACCCCAGTACCTATCTTCCTGATATCTTTTTTATCATCTCCTACTAACTGCAACTCAGAACTATCAGTCTTATTCCAGACTACCAATCCAGATGACCTAATATAGTATATCTTAATATCTTTTTCTTCTGGTGAATCTGGCAGTCTGGTTGGTCATATGCTTCTTTATACATCTTGACATTCGGTTTTAATCTTTGATTCCTATAAAGGTGTTTATGGGCTTCCATCAGTCCAACAGCACTGTCAAAGGTTTGTGTTACCTTTTTATTTGGGAATTTCCAAATAGAATTCTGTAACCTCAGTTCTTTAGTCTTCTATGCCTGGTGGTCTTATCATGGGTTTGCACTGAAGTTTTATGCAATACTGGTTATTAACATTCCTCTATATATATATAATATTACACTTCATATAGATGCTCTAAGCTCCTAATGTCAGCAGGACCTGACTTGGTATACTTGGGTTACAGCCACATAAGGACAACTGATCAACAGAAGATAGTTTCTGTAATACAGATATAATTCTGAATTTCATCATAGGTGGAATTTGAACCTTAGACCTGCCACTTAAAGAATGACAACCCAACCACTACACTAGGATCACTATTCTCTCTATAATTACTTTAAACAAATACTAGTAATAAATAAAACTAATTAATTATTATAAAAAATTTAAAATATAGCAGTAGTCTAAATTTGTTTATAATATTAAAAAAGCTGTATATAAAATAAATTAATTTTTTTATGATTTTACTACTGTTAATTAAAATAGGGCTGATGATTTTTTACTGTTATTTTTATTTATAAATATTATTACAAAAAATTATTAACCTTACCAAAGATATGTATATGTTATAAAATGTAGATTATTGCTTGGATACATATTTGATTTAACGATTCTGGTAAATTTTAACATAGTAATAGTGAATATAATGTATTTATTTTATATAGTAATAATATTTACTAATAGTATAAAAGTATAAAAGCACTATCTTTCATTCTCAAAAAGTATCTTGGTTAGTGTTCAACATAGAAGCATTTTGCTCAATTAATTCTTTCTGATAATATAACAATAAGATTAGTGACCAAATTTTGTAACATTATATTAAAAGATCTGTAATATAATTAAGAAGCTCTAATTAATTCTAATTACTCAAATCAAGTTTTTTAATAGCTCAATCAAAACTTTACTATTATTAGAGTCCAGTTAGAGTGATTAGTTAGTATTAATTTTGTGTTGTAATGCACATTTGTGTTATTCAGATTTTAGAATATTTTCTCTTTTTACAAAAAAAATAATGCTAGTAAAATATCTAATATTAAAAGTAGAATACTATTAATTTATTTTTTTACTAAGAACATAGTGTGTGATTCAGTTATTGTAGATAAAGACAATACAATATACAAAATATGAATCAAAAAAGACTAGTATTAGTTATTTATATTTGAGCTTAGAGGTAAGTTATTCTTTATTCATTATAAATTTTTAGTACTTAAATACTTTTTAAATTGTACTAATTTACTATAAATCTTTCTACTATTATAGCTATATCTGCTATTTTTGCTTTATCTGGCATATCTGGCATATCTGGCAGATCTATAGTTGTTTAACAAAACTTTTTTGCTTGATAACAAAAGTCAAAACCTGAGCTCTAAATAATGAAACCCTTTGCCAAAAATCGAAACCTTAAATTTTCCTAACAAAAGTCAAAACCTCAAATTCGAACTTGATGAAACCCTAGTACTTTTGCTAAAAAAAAATGTAAAATAATCTGTTTATTATTAATTTTATATTTGTGCTAATTTACCTAATTGATAAGTTGCTTATTAAGCTTTTTATTAAAACTAATAAATTATATATAGCTTTTTATGAATATAAAATGTAGAAAGCCAAGACACATTTACTTACACTTGTTTATTACATAATAAAATTTTAGTAATTATTATAAATTTATATTTTTGTAATTTATTTTTATTTACATTATCTATTAGTTTTGTCACTTTTGTAGTTTTATTAGTTTTTTTATCTTTATCTTTTGCCTGATTTGACATCTTTTACCAGTTTTAATGCCTTTTGTCAATTTCAACACCTTTTATTAGTTTCAATATTTTTTAACAATTTTAAAGTTTTGTCATTTAAGATTTTAATTAACAAAACCTTAAAGTTTTGTTTAACAGCTTTGGTAGCTTTTAACCAATTTTGACTAGCAAGACCTAAGCCACTTTAGTAACAAATTTTTTCTCTCACACTGTATACAAAATCTTGATTCTGAATGAATATAGAAATCAGATGATTTAATGATATAAACTTATTAAAACATGATTATATTTAAATATAATTACTGTTTATAATAAATTTCAAGTTTTATATGATATGCTTGGTTAGTCAAAAATACTTTAGCATACAAAAGTACTTTTGACTTATAATAATAATTTAACAAGTTATATATATAAAAATATGCTGATAATTGTGAATTTATTGGTTAGACAAAAATACAATCAGTCTATAAAATTCTAGAAAATATGATTTATCATTAGATAAACAAAAAGAAAAAAACTTTTAGTTTGATTTTTGAATTTGAGTATGTTATTACAATATTAAAATATATCTTATTGACTTTAAACTACTTTTGTATAATAATTATGTTTTGATAATTTCTAAAGGCCTTATACTTATTCTTTTCAACTCGGATTTTATTTTAATAACACAAATATGATTTATTAATGCCACTATCTATGCATTTTTTTATTATTATAAATGCTAGTATTTTGTTAAAATACTTAAAATAAGTGTGCTAATAGTTCATCTACTTTTGTATAGTTATAAAAATTAAGACCTATTCACAAATAGGTCAAATGATAGTATTAAAATAATTCTTAAGTAGTAACTTCTTTTTTTTATGATTAAGACAAAATTTGACAATAAAAATAATATTAAACCAATTATTATTTCATTATACTATTGTGAATTATACATTATATTATTATTATACAAAGTGTATATAATTATTTAATACAAATTTATTTTAAGTATATCCTACTATATGCAATTTATAATAACTATCTAACCTCAAATGATAATTATATATTCTTGATAAACTATTATTTAATTATCTGACCCTTTATAAATTCCAAAAAATTTATAATAAAAATAACATTCTGTTCTAAATATTTTATTGTCATACATTTTAGTTTTCATAATTATTAGAAAATCTGCTATAGTTATTAGAAAAACTACTATAATTAGAAAAATTATTATCAGAAAACTTATTTTCAAAAAAGTCATTATCAGAAAAGTTATTGTTAAGAAAGTCATTATCAAAAAAGTTATTATTAGAAAAGTTATCATCAAAAAAGTTATTATCGAGAAAATTATTATTGTCAGAAAAATTATAATCATTATTAAAGAAACTATTGTTACAAGAAAAATCTTTTTTATTAAGAGAATATTCATTTATTTTAAAAAAATCTGTAATAGATTTCTGTTTTATGAACTCAGTAATTTTTTGTTTTATTAATGGTATATAGTTTTGAAATACTGCTAAGTTATTGTTATTAAAGAAAAAGTTATTATCTATTTGTTTAGCAAATAAAATAAAAGTTTTTAACTCATTTAATCCTTTATAAGCAGAAATTTTTAGTGGCTTTTTATCAGAATTGTCCAAATTACTTTGCTCATGTTCTAATTGCTTCACTAATACAGTTTCAACAATTTGGCTATCATCAAGTGTATCTTCTGTAAAAATATATAAATTATTAATTTCTCTGTAAGCACTTATTTCTTGTAAAACTATTGAATCAGTAAGATCAATTATTAATTTATACATTTTGCTTTTTTCATATTTAATTGTTTCTAAATATATATTTTGTGCAAGTTTAATATCATCATTTAGCACCAATAATAAAATATCTGTCTTGTTCTAACAATTTACTATTGTTAACTCATTTATTTCATTTCATAAAGCTGCTATATAATCTATGGCATCTTTAATAGTTAATTTATTATTAAAAAAAAAAAATTTAATTATAAAAATTATACCAATCTATTTGTTATTGGCAGTTATAGATTTATAATTCAAAAATTTTAAATTAAAATAATCTATAATTATGTATATAATTTGACTTTCATATTTTAATATAAAATATTGTTACATAATTTTACTATATAGTAGTATTATATTTTTTTTAATCTTAAATATGAAATTTGGATACTGTTATTGCCAGTGACAAACAGATTATTTAATTTGAATATACAGTAAATTTATTTAGAATCACAAATATTTAGTCCTTTTTTAAACTGATCCAGAACATGTTGAATATATTTTTTTTGATATTTTGCCTTAAAGCATTTGATAATTTCTGCATCTATAGGTTGAAGATGTGAAGTAGTTAAAATGAGTAAAAATTTAATTTGAATATTTGTTGACCAATACTTAAATATATATAAACACTTGCTTAACCTTTATCATGTTTGCCTTTGCTACATTGAATAGTAAAACTTTATTTACTACTTGAAGTAGCATTGTCTGATTTTGGATGATTAGACTGTTGTCACAAATATAACTATAACTGTGACCACCTCTATTTCTAAAATATTCAATTCAGTAAAATATATTTCTTCAAAATCACTACAATCAGACTCTTTATTAAAATTTAGATTAAAATAACTTGTTACATTATTAAGTAAAAATAAAATTTTTTAATTTTCAGTTTGAAATTGTTGATTAAAGTCTTTTAACCACTCTTCAAATATGTCACTTCACATCTATGCCTTTGAATTAGAACTGTATATTACAGGTAGTATAGTATAATTTATACCAGATAATGCTTATAGTTCAATTGAAGACCCTTTGGGTAGACTACTTAAATTAGACAATGACTAAAGTTGTACAAGTAGCTAGTTGTACACTCTTTCTATAATTGTTCTCTGTAGTTATAATGCAACTATTAGCCAAATATACTATCAATAAAATTCTGGGTTACAAGTACTTACCTTAATATTTAAAAAAAAAATTAATATTACTCTTTTATGTAATTGCTAATGTTTGTTACTATAAAATGTATATAGAGAATATAGTTAACAGAGCTTATCAAGAATCAAGATATATATATTCTTTATGTCATATTATTCAAATAGAATGTACATATTATTTTAGAATCAAGAAATTTAATTGATTAATATTACAAGACTACAAATCTTTGCATTCTAATCAGCTAAATACCAAATAACAAACAATGCTTCTTTTAGTATTTAATTTTATTTTTATAATCTAACATGTTCATCTATTTAATCTAGTCAGTATGTTATTATAGATAAGTGCTATCAAGAAAAATCAGACTCTGATATTTGGTATTGTGAATTTATACACCTAATTATTTTAGCTGAAGTTAGTTTTTTTTCTTGGTAAAATATATTTAACAATAGCAATAATGGTAGATAGATAAGAATCATTATTTGTAAATAAAATTAAATAAACTTAACTGCATTAGAAGCAAGAAACATTTAATTGTTACAAAGAACCCAATTGCAAATTATTTATCAATTGACAATTTTATCTAATAGTATAATATTCATAAATTTAAAACTAGTTTACTTTTTATATATAGAAAGTTTTTATGATATTGATTTTATATGTAAATATCATGAAATCAAAGTAACTATTTAATACTAAGCTTTGATAATTATGATATATACAAGTTTAAATATTTTTAATTTTATTAAAAAAGATTAAATAATTGCTGTATTTGTTAATTCAAAGTTTTATCAAAATGCATTGCACATATTAGACTATTGTTGCCAGATATTAGACTTTATTGAAGAAAACATTGCAACTAATATATGTATATATGGAATTATTATTAATAATAATTTAATAATTTCAAAATTATAAAAAACTTTTTAGAAACTCTTTCTGTAGATCATTTTTACAAATTCTTGCTAAAAACATTTAATTTTTTCTCAATAATTCATTAAGTAACTCTTATTTATATTCTTAAGTAAAGTTTTTTAGCTTACTTTTCTTATTCTAGTTAGTTAGATTTTAAGTCTAAATATTTCCTAACTACTGAGAAAAGTTCCAAAAATTAAAATTTAGTTTTTGCTTCTTTTCTATATATTTTACTAATTAAATATACTTTGCTACCTATTAGAAAAACATTTAGCTCTTCAAGATGATTATTTTGATATATATTTTATTATAAACAGACCAGAACTCATCAAAATACATAAAAACAAGCAAACCTAAAACTTGTCTTTGCAGGTTTTTTTACTAGCAATTTAGGAAAACCTATTGAGTTGCTTCTGAAAATTTATTTTTTTAATATTTATTAAAATTTTCTAAACATTCAGTTTGCTTTTACAATAGTCTTATTTTCTGAAATTTCTCTAAACAACTTGCAAGCTTATATAATTAAAAAATTTTCTCTACATACTAGTAAAAATAAAATATTTTTATTACTTTAAGCTTATAATTATAATACAATTACCTTAATCTATCCAATATGCCTACTTTAAGCATTATAGCATCTAACACATTAGATCTCAATTACTTCTTCAAAAATTATTCTGGTTTCTATAGTATTGCAATTTATAAAAAGAAACCAAAAAATATTAGAGCTATTCTTAACAAATATAAGCCTACTAAATATGTTACTATGAAATTAAGAACTCATCTAACTATACATTTCTTTCCAGTTTTTCTAACAACTACAACTTTTAAGTATATATATGAATTATTCCATACGCAATTCATCTTAGCGAACAACAAAACATATATAATTATCAACATAATTGAATCAACAACAATTAACTCATAAGCCAAAAAACTTTAACAAGCACTCTATAAATTAACATCTAATGTTCTACTATCTCTTTTATCAACTACTTATACACATATCTGTCTTAAATATTAAATTTTAATTAACTGCAAAGTTATCAACAACAACCATGAATTGCAAAATAAAACTATGTTTTACAAAAATAAAGCATATCACAATAACTGTCTTGCTAAAATCTATAATTAAACCAAATCAACTAATTAATCCAAACCACAACCTATCATCAATCCTGAATAAGATTCCTCTTTACAACACAAGCTTCTAGTTCAACAACTAACTCAATTCTTAAATAATAATCATTTAAATAACCCTTTTACTTCTAAGTTTACATCTCTTCAAATAATCTTTATAGAAACAACTAATACCAATAATGACATAAATATTAACAACTCTAATCTATTAAATAACAGCAACCCCAATACATCAATTAGCAATTTACAACAACAACAACTCTTACACCAAACCTTATCATCACAAAAAAACAACAGCCCAACCAAAAACTATTTAACAACTTCAATTATCTTAATCTTATAGTTAAGTAACAAGACCCAAGCTTAAGGGTAGAGTATACGTAGATCATTTTTTATATGATCTTTGTGGTACAATATAATTTTTATAAAAAATAAAGCTT